TATGAGCCCTCTTAAATGAGTTGGATATATAAGCTGTAGTTATTAGTTATCATACTAGAAAACTCAAATATAATCCATTTGACATAACAGTTTCATCATATATTGCGTTTAGAGAGTTAACCATCGTTTTTAATTTGCAATACTCACATGTACATCCTTATTGCATATTTTGGGTTAGAAATAATCTGGTCATGCTGTACCATTTCCCAGGAAAGTGACGAAAAAACAGAATACACCCCACAAAGCCTGATACTCATAACCTAGTACCAAGCTCCTTCTCATTTCATGGTTTTCCCCATGTGTAACGTGTATAACGTGTACACGAACCAGTTTCCCTTAGAAAGTCCTCCACGAAGGCATCCCTCCACTTAGGCAGATGGCCCACCAGCGGCCGAGCGGTAAAGTCGCTGAACACTGGTAGTACGGTCCAAGGTTCGAATCCCGCGAGCGGGCTGGCTGCATGGGCGTTTTCGTGGTTTTCCCCGTGTGTAACGTGTATACGAGCCAGTTTCCCTTAGTCCTCCACGAAGGCATCCCTCCCCTTAGGCAGATAGCCCTCGAGGCTTTGCCATAATAACACACACACACCACTTAGGAAGATAGCCCTAGTGTGCTTTGCATTAATTGAATACACCACACACCTTCTCATTTCAGCATTTTGAAGCGAAACTTTTCTTACAGTTGACGATTTCCTTCATCATTCAACAGATAAGGATTTTTAGAGTCCTCTCTACATGTGACTTTGACAGCCACTTCTTCGACAGATAAGCCTCATACGTTTTGCTAAATTAAAACAGATCTTTCTTAGACATCAGTTTCTTTGCTGCGCGCTGTCCATAGTGAATATTCTAAGATAATACTACGTTACCTTTAGAAACATTACCCTTCTAATGTACTCTCTTCATAAAACTTTGACATCCACAGAAAAGACTTATGATATTCTATTACAGCATTTCTCAATCGGTGGTACGCAAGAGAACAATAGAGGGTACTTAAAGAAACACAAATATTTTTAACTATTAAATTGAAAAATATGGTGAAAAAAAAGAACAATTGATAGAAATTTGCTGTGTTCGAACTCCAATTGAAGATTTCAAAAGTGGCAGACTTGTTAACGTTATAAGGTATTTCTCCCGCCTTCCTAGCGTGTCTTCGTGGTGTAGTTGTTCTGCACGCTGGGTTGGTATTCCAGAAGTCCGTGGTTCGATTCCCGGGGAAGCCGATTGTCATTTTCCATCTTGCCTGCTTTCAAAAATCCTAATGTCTCTACAACGTTTGGCTGAACCGAAGAAAACAATTTAAAAGCATTTCAAATCAAGGTATTAAATTTTTATTGCCTTTATGCAAAATCTATTTGTGTGAACAAGGATTTTCTTCCATGATGTATTCGAAAAATAAATACAGAACAAAATTAAAAATGGATCCTAATTTACGGTTAAAACCAAATGAAATAAGATCAGTCATAAAGAAACTGATCTCTCTCTTAAACAGGCCCAAATTTTACACTAAATTTTAGATTTAAATTATTATAACTTAAATTTTGATAATTAAAATGGTAACCAATTTTTAATCAAATATTTTTATGTGTGCATATTTTAGCCAACAGGTTGTGCAATAGCAATGTATATATATATATATATACATTTTTTTTTATATTTGAGGAATTGAAAAATAATCATTGTAAAATGTACTGGTGGCACTTAAGTTTTTCAGTTTTTGTTTAGATGGTTCGCATTAGTCAAAAGGTTGAGAACCGCTGTTCTATTATTTATAGAGAATAGTCTAAGATAACTCTACATTATCCTTTAAAAACATTACCCTTTTAAGGATTTTTATGGTCCCCTCTGCATGAGATCTTTGACAGCCACATGAAAGACTTCTGATATTTCACTATTTAAAGAGAATAGTCTAAGATAACTCTACATTATCCTTTAGAAACATTACCCTTTTAAGGATTTTTTATCCCCTGTGCATGCGACCTTTGACAGCCACATGAAAGACTTGTATTCCATTATTTAAAGAGAATAGTCTAAGATAACTCTACATTATCCTTTAGAAACATTACCCTTTTAAGGATTTTTTTGTCCCCTGTGCATGCGACCTTTGACAGCCACATGAAAGACTTAAAAGGGTAATGTTTCTAAAGGATAATGTAGAGTTATCTTAGAAAACGTAAAGTTATCCTTTAGAAACATTACTCTTTTAAGAATTTTTTGTTCCCCTCTGCATGAGATCTTTGACAGCCACATGAAAGACTTATATTCCATTATTTAAAGAGAATAGTCTACTCTACATTATCCTTTAGAAACATTACCCTTTTAAGGATTTTTTGGTCCCCTCTGCATGAGACCTTTGACAGCCACATTACAGACTTATACTCCATTATTTATAGAGAATAGTCTAAGATAACTCTACATTATCCTTTAAAAACATTACCCTTTTAAGGATTTTTATGGTCCCCTCTGCATGAGATCTTTGACAGCCACATGAAAGACTTCTGATATTTCACTATTTAAAGAGAATAGTCTAAGATAACTCTACATTATCCTTTAGAAACATTACCCTTTTAAGGATTTTTTTGCATGAGATCTTTGACAGCCACATGAAAGACTTATATTTTATTATTTAAAGAGAATAGTTTAAGATAACTCTACATTATCCTTTAGAAACATTACGCTTTTAAGGATTTTTTTTTTTGGTCCCCTGTGTATGAGACTTTTGACAGCCGCATGAAAGACTTATGATATTCTATTATTTAAAGAGAATAGTCTAAGATAACTCTACATTACCCTTTAAACATTATCCTTTTAAGGATTTTTATGGTCCCTTCTGCATGAGATCTTTGACAGCCACATGAAAGACTTATGATATTCCACTATTTAAAGTGAATAGTCTAAGCTAACTCTACATTATCCTTTAAAAACATTACCCTTTTAAGGATTTTTATGGTCCCCTCTGCATGAGACCTTTGACAGCCACATGAAAGACTTATGATATTCCATTATTTAAAGAGAATAGTCTAAGATAACTCTACATTATCCTTTAGAAACATTACCCTTTTATAGATTTTTTTGCATGAGATCTTTGACAGCCACATGAAAGACTTATATTTTATTATTTAAAGAGAATAGTTTAAGATAACTCTACATTATCCTTTAGAAACATTACGCTTTTAAGGATTTTTTTTTTTTTTTGGTCCCCTGTGTATGAGACTTTTGACAGCCGCATGAAAGACTTATGATATTCTATTATTTAAAGAGAATAGTCTAAGATAACTCTACATTACCCTTTAAACATTATCCTTTTAAGGATTTTTATGGTCCCTTCTGCATGAGATCTTTGACAGCCACATGAAAGACTTATGATATTCCACTATTTAAAGTGAATAGTCTAAGCTAACTCTACATTATCCTTTAAAAACATTACCCTTTTAAGGATTTTTATGGTCCCCTCTGCATGAGACCTTTGACAGCCACATGAAAGACTTATGATATTCCATTATTTAAAGAGAATAGTCTAAGATAACTCTACATTATCCTTTAGAAACATTACCCTTTTAAGGAATTTTTGGTCCCCTGTGTATGAGACCTTTGACAGCCACATGAAAGACTTATATTCCATTATTTAAAGAGAATAGTCTAAAATAGTTCTACATCATCTTTTAGAAACATTACCCTTTTAGAAAGATCGGTATCTCGAAATTATAGCGTACCTTCTAAAAGTCATGACAATCTAATATTACATGACAATCATCACAAGACTTTCCGGCTCAAAAAAGGAGGAAAATTTTTTTTTCTTGTCAATGACGGAGAAGAAAATTATGAATTTTTCTTTGAAATTAGGTTAAAAAGTCCTCCACGAAAGCATCACTCCCTTAAGGCAGATAGCCCTCGAGTGCTTTTCCGTAATCTAATAAACCAAACCAAAGCTTTGAAATTTGGTCTTTGAAATTTCTATGAAATTCGCTCCAAACAGTTTTGTAACAGCACTCTTGGATAACGACTCCTTTGATGCAATGCCATTTTCTGACATGGCGTCATCCCTCATAGAGTCCTCACGGGTTATCTGAGCTATATCACCTCCAATTCATGTTCTAAATGTAGTAAAGCACGTTTTACATTTTTACTAATGATTTGTAATGGGTCTTTAAGGGGGCTCATACACCTTAAACCCCATTATGATCTTCGAATATGTGACTATACCAAGAATTGCGATAACTTATTTATTTTAAAAGCAATTACTTCCAACGTTTTACAGCTGACTACATAATATAGCGCTTTAGGAACTAGTAACCAGAAAGTTTCTGTGGCCACAAATATTTTTGTAATTTAATCAGCTTTGTGACAAAATTTTTCGTCACGTTTCCACCTTGCGCGCATAATATTTTAAAAATGGCTAATGGCGCATACTTGAAATTGGATGGATTTCTTTATACGGGCACTATTTTCAAACTGAACCCAAAATCTGATGAATATTTTAATATTAAAAATTTTATGCACGAAAACGTTACAGATTTTTTTTAATAAAATACATTTTATGAACTCAATTTCAAATAAAATAAAAATTTAACATGAAATTCTTAGAATTTTTGATTCACAGTAGTTTCCAAATGTTATAAAAGCTATATATTAAATATGGAATTAAATTATGCAACAGAATGTTTTAAACAGTGCGAGCAAGGTGGAAACTTGACAAAAATGTTTGTATCAAAGCTGATTAAATAATAAAAATATTTGTGGCAACACAAACTTTCTGATTACTATTTCAGAAAGTAGCTGTATTATGCAGTCAGCTGTAAAAAGTGGGAAGTAATTGCTATTAAAATAAATAAGTTATTCGAATTCTTGAAACAGTCACATATTCGAAGATCTTGTGTGTTTTAAGGTATACGAGTCCCCTTAAGAGGAGCATTTTGTTATGTCATGGATATTTTCAAATACAAATTTAGAAATAACTTTAGATTGAAAGAGATGAAGAAAATGTGAATGAAATGGACTTACCAATATCCTTCCTGTGGTCGATTGGCCAGAGATGAGTTCCCCGGCCCAGTCTTTAGCTTCGGTCATAAATCCTATTTCATTTCCACCGGCCGCCGCGCCGCCTTTGCCGCTAGGATCCGCCGCTGCCTTGGCCACTTTCACCCCAGCTGCCCCGGCCGCCTTCTCCTTGTTCCGGCAACAGAGAAAAGCAAATGCTCGCCATATCAGGATGATGAAGAGTCCCGCCATGAATGTGAACACGCTCGACAGAAGGAAACACCACCATTTGCGCTCTTTCATGCATTCTTCGTGGGGATCCAAGGGCAAAGTCCCGTTGGCCGCCCCGTCGCCCCCATCTCCGTTGGTCACTGTCGTCTCCTCCATGGAAAACTCTCGCTAACTTCAGGAGTGAGACATCGGATAGAGTTGTCTGTCCGTCTTGTTGATTCCTCGAAGCAAGAGCGTTATTGATTCAGTCCTTGAGAATAGTAATCTGAGCAATTTCTGCCGTTCCGAATCTTCATAGAGTTTCTGGTTGTTCTGCAAGACGTGTTCTTCGATTCGCCTTTCCTCTTCCCCCTTTAGGCTGCAACATTCGCTCCTTGTATGCCGGGTTGCAGTCTCGAATAATATTTGTGACCTTAGATTCTGCCCTTTGGGTTTGCTATTTGGTGAAGCGAGATCGAGAAAAAAAAATATCAAATCTTCCCTTTTCTTAGTTGATTTCTGTACGTGGTTCTAGCTATACGCGAAAAAAACGTATCCTAATGAAGTTGTTTTAAAACGAATTCAGGTCCAAGTGACGGGATGTTAGAAGCCGAAATTTAATTATTGTCCTTCTCGCAAAATCTTTTAAGACTATGTTCAATTAAATTACATTTGAGAATTATTATTTTTAAATTTCTCTTAAGACTTAATTTTTTGCTTTTCTCTAAACCAAGTTGAGTACAGTGCTGAATTAACTCTATTTTCTGTTTTGCTTAGATATCTAAACCATTCTAAATTTCTTAACACTCAAAAGTTTTCCTGAATGACACCGAATAAAAAATTCCTTTTAGTTTTCAATAATTCCTTTCACTATTATTCGAATCCTTAACGTTTTTCACCAAATGGGATACCACTTGAATGACAGAAGTATGCTAAGCAGAACGTTCAACAATAGAGCTGCACTAATTGTATTTTTTAGTTAGTTTTATCTTAAGCTATAATGAGTATTCCAAAGGGAAGATTTGAATAAAAACTGAAATGACTTCCGAGATTCTCGCCTCGTCTCTCCTAATCTACATTTCTCCGAAGGAGTATAGTCTCCAAAAAATAACAGGTCGAAACTGCTGTATTTAGTCAGAACAAAAAAAGTCTCTATAAGACCGTATTAAAAATATTTTTCAGTCAGAGCTATTGTCTTCTTTCGCTGCTTTCACGTAATGGATTTTTTTTTTCGTATGTATTGACACTTATACAAGTTTGGGTTGAAGCCTGAGGTGCAGTTTGGTTCAAAATACAGTGCAAAATAATGTCCAAATCTCAAAACTTCTCTTCTTGATTTTCACTAGACATGTTTTCGATATATTTCTTACCTAATTTACGGGGCAGTACCTTTCTTGCATGAGCACGGTACAAGAAAGAGAAAGGAGATCACTTATTAAGTGTTTTGCAAATACTATTTTCTGCACATCCATCTAACATGTAGTCTGAAGTTTCACGGACGAAATAGTAACTTCGAATCGTAACATACAAACATTAAAAAAATAGTTCATTTTACACCAAAGTTAGTAAATACCTAATACAGCAAATACAACATTCAATTAATTAGAAAAAGATTCTATATGTAAACTGATACAATGTATAAAACGTGTAAAATTCTGTTATGTTTACCACAACTAACTCTCAGTTTAAATTTATCGATTATTTATACGATTCACTCGATAACGGAAAACACATTTTTAAACAGAACGACACGATTAATATTATTTTCAGTACGAGATTTATTTGGGCACGTACAGCACCGAATTTGTTTTACCCACATCTCCGATATTTGGTCCATAATTTTCAGGGACAATTACTAGATTTCAAATATCAGTTTAAGGAGGCTTCTCTGTTGTATTATAAGAGATATTCTTCAATCGTCGGTGCTTTTTTAGTTTCCTGAAAGAAGTCATTAGTAGAGACGTTTACTAAAGGCAGAACAGTGGAAAAATATCGAATATTCTCTGACGGTGACCGAGACACCGTTCTAAAATGGTTTTCTGAAAGTAGATTTATTATATCAGGTATCATAGATAGTTTTATATATGTATATTGTAATACTGCATATGATTTGAATTTTTTTAAAAGGATATCGCGATTAATTCTAACAAATTTGACTTCGTAATATCCGAACTCAAAGCACGATAACTAACTCAATTTTCCGTATCATAAATCTTGACTTTTTGAAATAAGGAATAAATAAATTAGCTTTAATCCTAAGAAACGTTTTTCATCAGAAAATATATTTAAATTAACAAAATAGTATATTAAAATTACATACTAACTTTAAGTATCATATATTCTACTATCGATCCAAAAATGCGTAATAGTTAACCAAAAAGTAAGTAAATTTTAACTTTGGAACAAGCAGCAGGGAAAACGATAGTTAAACAGAACTGCAGTTAGAGCTTTATGTAAAATAATTATATACTTACCACTTAGCTGGTTGTTCCGATGGTAAATTTTATGGGGTTCGTTGGGAGTGTCGGAGGAATGTGCGTAATGAATGAGGGTATTAAATTAGGTGAAGAAAAATATCGAAAACATGCCTAGGCTGAGTCTGCTAAATATCGACTGGTCGAAGAATTGTGATTTCACATATGGGGATAATTATAAGGGAGAAATAATAGTTCCAAACCTGAAAGTATTCGCACCGCTGGGGCCGACTACATAATATTTCTTGGCATCATCCTGCGACAGCGGTTGCGCATGCGCAACACCTCTTCCAAAGATGGTGACGGTTTTGAAGATTTTTTTCCTTCCTTTCTTTACCTCGCTCTCGCAGACGAAAGGAATTTTGCGCAGCCACTTCTCGTTCGAGCGACAAATGGTGGTGTTTCGCTGGGTGTCTGCCGAAGTTTCTACACTGGGGGTTTCGGTCCTTCCCCCCGCTTACAATTGTGATGGTGGTGGAGGCTGTTTAAGGCGTCGCGAGCAGTTAGTTTCGATAGCAACCGGTGCAGCCTTTTCGGGTTCCGCCGCCGTGCGGATGAGAGAGGAAGTCCGCGAATCCCTGGAAAGGTGCTCTAGGGTTGCCAAGAAAAATGCGCTTTGTCGCCAAGTTCTAGCCACTTTAATAGTCTTCTAACCAGAGGATGCTTAGGCAGATCTGTTGCCTCTATAAAAATACAAAAAAAAAGTCTTTAATTTCCTGCTGCACTCTCTCTTAATCACTAATTTTATAAGCATTTCTTAATATTTACTGGAATTTAAGACATAATTTTCAAAATAAATTGGAAAGAAATTAACGTAGGTTAGATCAAAGATTACTAAGAAAGTTGTGTACAATATTAAATTATTATACGATAAGTGTAATGTACTTTACGTTGTAAAATACGTTTGAAATTCGATATGCAGTATTTAACACTGAAAAATTTCGAAATAATGAGTTAGCATCAAACTTAAAATAAAACAGGAATATATTTTTATTTTCAATTCATAGTTTAATTATTAAACCCACCTTAAGAATATATCGGAGCAGCGATTACTTCTTAAAAGCCAAATTACACATTTAAAGGCAATATACGGTATTAAAGGCAAAAGTCTTTGCTGCATGGGATGAAACACGTCAATGCAAAGTTTAAAACCAGGCAAAATTCAATCCTACATTCCATGGACATTACTGTAAAATTATTAATTGTGAATGTTGAAAGAAATGGTATGTATCTTCCTCGAGTAGAAAACCTGTTCTGGTACTTTTATAAACCAAAATATGTGTAATATATATTTACTCCTGTTCGAAGATCGATCTTTATATAGCGTCTTCGAAATGACAAAAATTTTCCTGTAAAACCTATGCGCATTGATATTTGAAGCTTGCCTAAAATTACGAATGCATACTTCTCAAGTTTCTTAAGCGGTTTCCAAAGACAGATACGAATCAGACATATAAGTGAATTTAGGATGAAAGCATTGAAGATGTAGAGAAATTAGGTTATTTCAAAGCAGGAGAAATAAAAAATGAGCAATGCCCTCGTCGGGACTGGAATCACGGACTTCTCGAATACGCGTCAAGCTTGCTGACCACTACACCATGAAGGCATGCTAAGAATGGGGAGAAATACCTTACAAAGTAAACTATTATCGAATTCCGTGGTTCGATTCCCGGCGAAGGCTGTTGCATATTTTTCATCTTTTCTGTTTCCAATTAACTTAATGACTCTAGAAGTGGCGCCCGAACTAAAAGGGTTGTGGATGATGATTCTCCGCCCCAAGGATTTGGTGACTAGGTCCCCTAAATATCTTAGTCGCCCTTTAGAAAGGGGAGTATATAAGGTATTTCTCCCACTTCCCTAGCGTGCCTTCATGGTGTAACAGTAGCACGCTGGGCCGGTATTCCAGAGGTCTGTGGTTCGATTCCCGGCGAAGGGGTTGCATATTTTTCATCTTTTCTGCTTCCAATTAACCTAATGATGACTCTCCTTGCTAAACGGAAGATTTATAGATAAAACCACAATTTTTTTTTCTAATTCTATGCAAATATGTTCAAAATTATGTATATTTAAAATAATTAGTGTTTTTTAACCCTTTGTTGTATCATGTCCACTCTAGTAGACAAAAATTTAAATTTGTTTATTCTTCTTAACAGATTCCATTCCTGTGTTTATATTATATTATTAGAACTTTCAACTGTCGATCATAGATGACTGTATAGCATCACTAAGTGAAGCATTGCTATTTGGAAAATGGCTGCTACTTCTGTTTTCAAGTTAGTACAATTTCTCATTGTAAACGTTATATAATATTGCTTACATTTTCTTATACTGCCATTTTTTATTCATAATTAGTCAATTTAGACATTTTATTTTAAATGTCAGTTTGAGAAAATTGTGGACTGGGTCGATAAAGATCTACCGAAAAGATTGAATTGAAACCCAAATGTACTGCTTATGAAGCCAAAACACCACTGGAAATGTTTATGTTTGGCAAGGAATTTCTAGAACATTTGACATTTTGAATCCAATAGGTACAGGTTACAAATTCGTAGCAAAAGGAATTCAATCACAATCGACGAAATGAAGGTATTTTGGGGTTATCTGTATGTGCATGTCAGTTGTAGATTTACCATTTAGAAGATGGTAATGATCGCTGCAAATGAGGCAGGAAATGATTTCAAATGCAATGACCGTCAATCGTCGGGAAGAGATTTGTATGCATGTACGTATATGCATGCTGTCGACTGTAGTGAACAAACTGTAGCAATTATTTAAAACGAAATTTGAATAAAATTATTTTTTTATTATTACTAAGGTTATTTTAAGTAGAAAAAATGCAAACATTTTCGTTTAACTTCTCTAGATTAATTCAGAAGTCAAACAACAAAAATCAGCGTTATATTTACAAAACACTGATTTTTGTTGTTTGACTTCTGAATTAGTATTTATTCGGCGTGTTATTGTGTCTTAATTCTCTAGATTATTTGTATGCAACAAAGGGTTAATCAAGTATTAATTGAAGTAGAAATTACTTAAGTGCTTTGCCGAAATTAGTCATCCTTTCACGAAGAGGTAACAACTGCATTCTTACAGCTAAAACTCTTTTCATCCCCTTTTTCTTTAGTATTAAATGTATTTTTAGTTTACTTTGTAAGGTATTTCTCCCCCCTTCTTAGCCTGCCTTCATGGTGTAGTGGTCAGCAAGCTTGACGCGTATTCGCGAAGTCCGTGGTTCCAGTCCCGACGAGGACATTGCTCAATTTTTATTTCTCCTGCTTTGAAATAACCTAATTTCTCTACATCTTCAATGCTTTCATCCTAAATTCACTTATATCTCTGATTCGTAACTGTCTTTTGAAACCGCTTAAGGGGACTCATACTTAAAACAGATAAGATGTTCGAATAGGTGACTGTTGCAAGAATTGGGATAACTTATTTATTTTAAAAGCAATTACTTCCAACTTTTTACAGCTGACTACATAATATAGCTGCTTTCTGAAATAGTGATCAGAAAGTTTGTGTTGCCACAAATATTTTTATAATTTAATCCGATTTGTGACAACATTTTTCGTCACGTTCCCAACTTGCGCGCACAGTTTAAAACATTCTGTTTCACAATTTAATTCCATATTTAATATATAGCTTTCATAACATTCGGAAACTACTGCGAACCTAAAATTCTAAAAATTTCATGTTAAATTTTTATTTTATTTCGAGTTGAGTTTATAAAATTTATTTTATTAACAAAATTTTTAATGTTTTCGTCCATATAATTTTTCAATATTAAAATATTCATCAGATTGTTGATTCAGTTAGAAAGTAATGCCCATCTAAAGAATTCCATCCAGTTTCAAGTATGTACCATGAGCCATTTTTAAAATATCATGCGCGCAAGGTGGAAACATGGCGAAATATTTTGTCACAAAGAGGATTAAATTACAAAAATATTTGTGGCAACACAAACTTTCTGGTTACTACTTTCCAAAGCAGCTATATTACGTAGTCAGCTGTCAAAAGTTGGAAGTAATTGCTTTTAAAATAAATAAAATATCCCAATTCTTGCAACAGTCACATATTCGAAGATCATAAGGGGTTTAAAGTGTATGAGTCCCCTTAATAAGTTGTTAAGGCAGATTTATGAAGGAGCTTTCTAAATAACTATGTACCTAAATCACACACTCGTCCGTCAAACATTACCATAAATTTATTTTGCGAGTTATCGCAAAAAACTTAAACTGACTCTGACAGTATAAACAAGCAAGCAAATGAGATTTTAATTTACCTCACTATAAGTGAGTTCGAAACTAAAATAGTACGAAATAAAAAAATATCTTTGACTCAGTAAGTAGCTGAAATTACAATACAACTAGATATAATGCTAAGTGTTTCTAGTCAAGTCTACTGTGTCATTGGGTTGTACAACCTAATTTTAATTAAAACATATTCGCCAGTGTAGTACTAATATCTCACTTTATGATGCAAGGTAGGCGGGGCGACAGAAACGTAGCCAAAGATCTTTCTACTATAATTAATACGAAGATTTTTTTTTATTTCACAAAGCTGATTGTTTGTTAATGAAGTAATTAAACGTATAAAAATATAATATGAAAACTTCATATTCCAGTATATCATATGAAAGTAGAATTTGCCATTAAAAACTCAAAATAATTAAAATGATTTTATATAAAAATATAAAATTTCGTGCAAGTATTTCGCTTCACTTTTTAAATATTAATAACATCTACTGTTGCCATCCCGCTAATTCTTTATTATAGAGTAACTTTAAAATTCAAAGCTTAACCAATTTCTAATTCAGCAGTCTTGACTTTTTCTGTTTCGTTTGAAATCTAAAAATTAGCAAACCGCTTTAAAATTGTTGTGCCACTTTGAAAGAAAAATTAAAACATAATTTTAAAAAATTCGAAAGCTTCCAGATTTTATGTTACGAACAAAGTGACGTTTCTATCATTCACGTTTCGAGAACATTTGGGGTAACGCCTCTTTAGGTTAAAAATATTTAAAACAACATATCTTTAGAATTTCGGATAGACGGTCTCGCGCGTTGGAGATAAAAATGTTTTATTCCGTACACTGTTGCCACTGCTCGCTTTGAAATCGATGAAGTTTTAAGTTCACACCTTAAACCCCTCATGATCTTCGAATATGTGACTGGTGCAAGAATTGGGATATTTTATTTATTTTAAAAGAAATTACTTCCCATTTTTCATAGCTGACTACATAATATAGATGCTTTGAAACCTAGTAACCAGAAAGTTTGTGTTGCCACAAATATTTTTGTAATTTAATCCTCTTTGTGACAAAATATTTCGCCATGTTTCCACCTTGCGCGCATGATATTTTAAAACTGGATAAAGGTACATACTTGAAATTCGATTGAATTCTTTATATGGGCACCATTTTCTAACTGAACCAACAATCTGATGAATATTTTAATATTGAAAAATTTTATGGACGAAAACATTACAAATTTTGTTAATACATTTTATAAACTCAACTCAAAATAAAATAAAAATTGAACATGAAAC